TCACAACTGTATGGAGCTAGTCTCTCCCTCCCTCTCTCTCTCTCTCTCTCTCTCCCTCCCCCTCCCTCTCTCTCTCTCCCCCCTCTCTCTCACCTTAGTATTATCCTTAATAGCATTCAGTACATTACTAGTATCAGTAGCATCAACCAGTGTGACACTGATATTGAAGTTACTGGCTATTTTCCTAAGGAACCTGTTCACTCCTCCATACACATCATTAACTGATACAATGTGGTCTCCTGATTTTAGTAAAGCCTGCATCACTGTTGATACTGCTGACATGCCAGAACTGAATGTGTGAGCTATAGAGAAGAGAAGAGGAGAGAGGGGGGAGAAAGTGGAAGAGATATAATTTAGAGGAAAATTTTGGAGAGAAAGAATAAAAAGGTGATAAAAGATAAAATAATAAAGAGAAATGATGTTTTATGGAAAATACTTGGAAGACATTAATAGTTTTTAATGAGGACAAAACTTTATAAGTTGCTAAAGTAAAACTTTGCAAATTAAAATGAATTAATACACATGATTTATAATTATACGGTGTATAAGTTATTCATACCATATTGTGCTCCTTCACAAGCTGCCAGTGACTTCTCTAATGCAGTTCTAGTCGGATTACCATCCCTAATGTAATCATGCATAGGCTGGAGAGAGAGGAGAAAGAGAAGGTGACATACATTGTTAATTAGTTGTTCATCAGTTTCTCTTCTTACTGGTTTTCCTGGTTCATCTTGTTTATAAGTGGTGCAGGTGAATATTGGCGGTACTATTGCTTTACAGTTCCATTGTTCTGGGTCCTGTCCAACGTGTATAGCATTTGTACCAAAATGTGGCCAAGTAGACATTTTTAAGACCCTGCCCTAGGCTAGGGTGTGGCTGCCTGTGCCCTGTGCCCTGGTGTTTTGATTTACAACGCAACAATGTCTTCTCCGAGGTCTTCTCTGCCTTCTCACTCAAGATATCAGGATTTTATTGGTGTTAGTGACGAGGAACTGAGTGAGTTTGTATTTTGGAAAAGTAGCTGTGTTTAATTTTGCCTTTTTTACTAGGTATTGATGATTTTGATTCTGTTTATGAGGCAGTCAGACCGCTCTCTGCTCTTTGGAAATCTATAGCCATTTCATTGCGTCTCAGAATATCTACTATCAACCGTATAGAAGGTAGTAGTCGTGGAAATGCCATATCTTGTTTGCAGAAAGTTTTAGAGCACTGGCTTAAGGAAAGATTATGATTATGAGCGTCATGGTATTCCTTGTTGGAGGAGAGTGTGTGTAGCTGTTAAAGAAGGAGGAGGTGATCCAGCATTAGCTGATGAAATAGCTCGTAAACATCCTCTACCAGCTACTACTGGAGGAGCTACTCCTCATCCTCTACCTCCTCTACCAGTAGCTTTTATTAATGTTAGTGACAAAGAACTAAGTAAGTTTGTAATTTGTAAAGTCATAGATGTGTTTATTTATTTTTAATAGGTATTGATGATTTTTATTCTGTTTATGATAAAGTCAGACCGCTCTCTGCTTGTTGGAGACAGATAGCCATTTCATTGCGTCTCAGAATAGATACTATCAACCGTATAGAAACTAACAGCCGTGGAGATGCTATCTCTTGTTTGCAGAAAGTAATAGAGTATTGGCTTAAGAAAGATTATGATTATGAGCGTCATGGTGCCCCTTGTTGGAGGAGAGTGTGTGTAGCTGTTAAAGAAGGAGGAGGTGATCCAGCATTAGCTGATGAAATAGCTCGTGAACATCCTCTACCAGCTACTACTGGAGGAGCTACTCCTCATCTTCTACCAACTACTACTGGAGGAGCTACTCCTTATGTATCAACTAGTTCAAAAGGTACATATTTCTCAGCATTTTGTCTACAGTCCCGCACCCCAATGATTACAGACATTGTATTATATATGTTACCTTATAGTGCAAAATTTTCAAGGGCTGTAAATTTTGTGAATCTGCCTAAAAATCTCTTTTGCAGATTCAAATTTTCGCAATTTTATGCCGTCTGCCATCTCGTACCATAATAGTTTGATTTTTGTGGAAGTAATTTTCGCGAATGTTAAAAAAATTGTGAAATTTGCAAAACTTACAGCCCTCAAGAATTTTGCACAATACGGTACCAAGAGTACATAGCACCTAAAGAGAGTATCCAACAGCCCTATAGCAGACTGCTGCATGAGGGCGTATTTGCTCAAAGTCACAATCCGCATACTCCAGTATACTTACCATATCACATGATCAAGCATGTGGCATCATTATCTGGCCCTTAGCTTTTAAAAACTTGGCAATCTTTTCCAATACAAGAAAGGAATTTGAAAGAAGGCTGGAAAGATGAACTACAAAGGCAGTCCTGCTAGTATCCAGGAGTTTGTGCCCCAAGCACTTGCCAACTTGTGACAATGGCAACTCAATATCTACGCAATAATTATATTCATTGATAAAGTATACTGGAGTATGCAGATTGTGACTTTGAGCAAATGCGCCCTCATGCAGCAGCTTGTATAGGGTGGTTCGATACTCTCTTTAGGTATTATGTACTCTTGACGGTACCTTATACATTAAATATCAGTAGACAATAGATGAAAAGTTCCATTCTCTGTAGTGAATTTCATTTGTATATTTGCATCTTGAGTAACAAATGATTGAATTAGTTTGTATTATGCCACCTTGCCTAAACTCTAAATTTGTCAAAACTGCATGATTTTCCTCCAAAATTACCAGCTATGTACAATCCAAGATAGCGTACTATAATCACTGAATTTGTATCATTAATAGGTACGTTTAGATCTGATATTGCTCATAGAGTAATGAAAGAATGTACTTCATTAATAAAGAATTGTGGGATTAATATTCACTTCTTGGTTGACAAGTTGCTGGAACACAAGATTATAAACATAAGACAGAAGAGAGGAATAATTGATGGCTACACTAAACAAACTGCTGGTGAAAGAATGGATAAATTGCTCAACCTCATTTCAACCCCCATTAGAGCGATTGGAGAAGTATTTGGTATATTCTTAGATATACTCAGAGAGGAAGGTACTAGAAGAACTATTGCACTAGTTAATAAATTGCTACAAAAATATGATTCATTTGATAATGCTCCTGACCAAGTACAATTTGATGATAGTAAGTTATAAGAATTACTGTTTATTGGGCGAAGCTCACTGTGATTAAGTATTTCTGTATGTATGCATGCAATGTTTTGTGATTCTTCTACATGTAGTTTGGGCTAGCCTTGCATAGCCATCCCCTCCCTCAGCCTCAGGCTTAATTTGTGCCTACAACATAGAAGTGCCCTATACTGAACTATAATTTGTTATAATACACTCTTTACTGAATTTGTATCATTAATAGGTACATCAAATATTGCTCATAGAATAATGACAGAAAATGCTTCATTAATAAAGAATTGTGGGATTGATGTTAGTTCCTTAGCTGAGAAGTTACTGGAACACAATATCATAAATGCAAGAGAGAAGAGAGAAATAATTTATGGAAATACTGGGCAAAGTGCTGGTGAAAGAATGGATAAAGTGCTCGACATCATTTCAAGCTCCATTAGAATGGATGAAGAAGTATTTAGTATATTCTTAGAT